ACCCCCACTGAGCTAATTCAGCTCTCTTGCACCATTGCCAGTGAGCCAGGCCAAGAACCCGAAACTCCAAAGCATCTCAGGCAGGGAAAATATCTCTGTTACAGAAGATACTGATTCACTCACTCTACAAATCTCTACTGAGTTTCCTGAAAAGTTTGGGAAAGTTTTCAATTTTCTAAATTTCTAGCAATGATAATAGATATAAAAACCACAGTATTAAAGATACAATTCTAGATGGTCCACTATTGAAAAGAAACAAGCTTCTGAGTGAACATACTGGGGAGGGGCTGGACATGAAATTTATATTAAACACTGAAGGATAACTGTAAATCAGCCATGTGAATAAATGAGAGTGCAGGAATACTACAGACAATCAAATCAGTCAATATTGAAAGGGCCTTAATATCCAAAGTCTATGACTGGGACTCCTGGAAGGACAGGACTCCTGAGGCCCTCCTCCTCATTCCAGTTGATTGTTTCTCTAGAGAAGGTAAGGTTGTCCTCCTTAGTTACCCAGCTTAAGAATATATAATTATTTATTCTTAACCTTCTTTGTAATATTTTAAGTTCATCTCTTTCTTTTAAATATTAATCCAGAGAGTTTCATTATTTCCCAAATTTGACAAGATAACAAATTAAGACAGTTAAGGAAACACCCTTGACTTAATTGTGACTAGAATCTTTTGTGTGTATGTGGTGTGTCTTCATGTTCATGTGGGTGTTTGTACATATATGTTTAGGTACATGTACACATGTGTGCTTTGAAAGGCCAGAGGTTGATGTCAAGTGCCTTTCTTCATAATTATCTAATTTATTATTTGATACATGGACTCTCATTAAATGTAGAATTTATAGGTCAGCCAATGAACAGGGATCTACCTGTTCCTATGCCATAGCACTGTGTTTACAGAAATTCTGTGCTGATTTATATGTGTGTGCTGGGAACCAAACTCATATCATTGTGTTTGTAGAATAGGTGCAGTGATCTCTTCAGTCCCTACATCTAGAATGTAAACCAAAATTTTCTGTGACTGTGAATAACATCATATATTACATTCCCTAAATCACCAGAAGTCCATGGATTGTGAAGTAAAGAGGTAAGGGAAGCATCACTGGGTGAACTCACCATAATACCAGAAAAAAACTCTGGAAATGTGAAATTCATCACATATGAAAAATATCTAAGAACAATAACACACTGTGAATAGTATTAATCCAGTTCCAGGAGCCCTAATACCCTCTTCCAGCTTCCACTGACATCATGAACGGATGTGGTGCATAACTGTAGATTCAGGCAAAACATTCACATGAATAAAGTAAATCTTTTTAAAAAGAACTGAGTTAAGGGATATCCTTGCCTTCTAGCCAAAAATAATTTTTTTTACCATAATAAGAATACTGGTAGTGACTAGGGGTTCTCAGTAATAGAAGTGGACTGCTTAAACAGCAATAATCAGCAGTGCTGTCTTAACACATAGTACGTGTATATGCACTTATGGATTTTAACCCCAGTTCCTCTCCTCCCAGCAGTTATAGACTTATAAGCCTTGGAAGATGGATAGTAATTGCTCAGTGCCTTTATGCCTGACAGAAGAAATAGATTCAAGACAGGTATGGTGGCATACTAAGAGGGTAGAGGCAGAGGAATTCAGAGTTCAAGGCCATCTTTGATTATACAGTGAGTTTGAAGCCTGCCTGGAATACGTGAGATGCTTTCAGGGATTATAGATAGCTGAATGTAGGTCTCTACAAAATCCACAAAAGATAATAACAAAGAAATAGACACTGGACTTCAACCGACTCTTGTTTTTTGACTGTAAAATGGAGATAACATTACCCTTCTGTTCACAGTAGCACTCTTCTGTTGGTCAGATTGGGCAAGCTTCATAAAAGTGCCCTGAGCAGGTTGCCCAATACACACACACGTTTGATGGGTGGAAGATGATCTAAGGATAAAGAAGTGAGCAATGACAAATGAATTACAGAACCAAGATTCAAAAGGATTTCAACAGATTTGAATGGACTTTAAATCGAGACACACCAGAGTCCTTCAGTAAGGTTGACAAATACGCCCATGAAGGCATGATGGGGTGAGAGGTGGGGTAATAGCAGCTTTGATAAAGTGGGGGCTGATGCTGTGTTATAGTGGCTAGACAAGTAAGGCAATCCTGGGAGGCACTGCAAAGATTGAGGAAGATTCATAGGAATAGGAGGAAAAAGAAGAGGAGGAAGAAAAAGAGGAAGAGAAAGAGGAGAAGGAGAAGGAGGAGATGAACCCAAAACTACACCTCTGATCTAGAATTTTACATGTAACATCAACTAAAGTATATTGTTTGTTCAAGGGAAATATTTGAATTTAGTTAACTCTAGCAGGGACTACTGTTGTTTGTTACCGGCTATAAAGGCTTGGAAGAACCCAGAAGACTGTTGGTATAAGACAGAAATAGTGACCCAATTCAGTATTGATATGTATTTGTTGTGTGACCTTAAGAAAATGACTTGATCCCACCAAACCTATCCCATTTCCGCAAGTCTGATAGGAAGCTAGCTACTGCTCTCCACAGTGGCAGATTAAATAAAGTCCCATATGTCATGCACCCAGTAGAGAGCATGCTCTTGGAGGGGACAAGCAAATGACAGAAGGTCCTCAGTCACTCACCAGGTAATTCTCTTTTGTAGATAACTACACTTCACTTTAACTCTGGCTCAAGTTCCTTTTAATCTCATCCTCTTTGCACAGGAGGGCCTTTCTTTACATCTGCCCAAAGGGGCTTAATAAACACAGACTCAGAGACAACAACTGCACTTGCCACCTGCTTTCAAGGCAGACCAAGGGAGAACAGCAGCTCATGTTCAGTAGATCTGTTGTAACAAGTCTGAAGTGCTAGCTGAGGCCTACTATGGGGCAGATTATGGAGAGAACATGACTTAACATGATCCCCTCAAGAGGTTATAATCTAGTGGGAAAGTCAAGTGATGCGTGCAGGAAAAGAGGGAAGAAATATAAAACAGGCTGCCAATAAAGGACAACATGAGTCAATCTTAGTTTGGTGACCTTAAGTTTTAGACTTTTAGAATTGGATGTAAGCTGAGCACAAGGGTCAGTAGGGAATTCCTAAACCTTTTTCCAAAACAACTGTATCACTTAGGTCAGTGGACTCCCAGGTTCCCTGAGAAGAGCCCCAGCTTCCTGCCCTTGAGGAGCCACTTCTTACTTCAGTATACTATGAAAAGACCTCCAAAACTTTGTGCCACACCTCCTAGGAACTGCTCTCACTCCTACCACTCCTTTCATGTAATTAATACCTTCTCTTCTTTCAAAGATCAGCTGGAAGTCCCTGCCCTTTTCATTACTGCCTTGCAGAACCTGCTTTGCTAGAAACACACCTGGACCAGCTATGCCTGCCTCTAAGCTCCTGAAAAACATACACCTTCCCTAGACTCACCACACCCCGGCCTTCTGCCCTTCTCCCACTCACCACGATCTGTGGTAGCCTCAGGGCACAGCACAGGTGATTTTCAGGGCCCAAGTAAAAATTATCCCTGAGTATCTCCAGCTAAAATTTGATGCCACCATGCATTTCCACCATCCTGTTCCTTGCTCATTCTAGAATAAGTCTAGAGAAAAGACAAAGGCAGTGACTAGAAGGGGACACAGAGATAGAAAATGAGATGCATTGAGAGGCAGAGATGTAGCAAAGATGTGGGAGGGAGAAGAGCAAAGAGAAACAGTGGAGGAAAAAAATACAGAAGTGTAGATAGGACAGGCCAAAGGACAAGGAGGAACATGAAAGCACTTGGGAGGCACAGCAGGAGTAAGAGGCATCTCACAGGACAGCAACAGCAGCAGGTAATGTGCTCTCCAGGCCTAAAGTCCTCCCCATAGTAAGGTCACAGACTTCAGAGTGGGACATATATAGATCCTGGAGAATGACTCCCCAGATGCCACAATTGGCGAGCATGCCACTACAAGGTGGAGATAATGAGTGGCCTAGAATTAGAGAGGTAACTTGTAATGAATCTGGCAATCACAGTGAGTGGGCTGGGCTGAGTCATAAAAATGCTGGGATTTTCCACTCTGCAGCAAGTATCCAAGCCTAGCGGAGTGGGAATCCACCACCCTGCTCCTGATAGCCCCAAACATCCTTCATTCCACAGAGGCTTAGTTGGCGACAATAATGCACCTGGCCCTGGGTGGAGCCTTCAAGACGTTTCAGCAAACAGCAGGTACTGCTCCGAGGGAGGCCAGAATTGTGAAGGGGAACAGAAAGAGGGATAAGCCACCGAGAGGCCTGTGAAAGTCTGTGGGCACCAGGAAGGGGATGTTCTGGAAAAGCTAACCTTCAGAAAGTACCTTTAAAAGCAAAAGGAACGAGAGGCATCAGAATGGTGGATGAGAACATGGGCAGGCAGAAGGGGTGAGAAGATAAGGCTGCATGTTTTAGTCAGAAAGAAGCCACAGTATGCTTCCCACCGCGTGCGTGCGTGCGTGCGTGCGTGGTGCGTGTGTGTGTGTGTGTGTGTGTGTGTGTGTGTGTGTGTGTGTGTGTGTG